AATCCATTCTCAAAAGCGAGCTTCTTAATGGGCTTTAGAAACTTAAGTTGAGGCCCCTCTAGTGGAGCTTGATTGGCTGAGGGCAAAAAAAATTAAAAAATTAAAAAGATATTTGATCGATGCTGTCGCGCAAGTGGGGGTATATTTTATGAGACCTGTAACTTTAATGAAATAAAGTAAAACTGAAGCTTTTCCAGAAAAATCGTAATTCAACGCTGTTGAGTGTTTTCATGTGTATCAATTATTTTTCAGGCCATTATTGTGAAACAAGCCATTATTGTGTCTGATCTTAATTTGGATTCTCGAGATTAATTATATGAGAGAATACTCCTTTAGGATGATTAATAGATTATAACACACGTATATATATATATTTATTGAAGTTTTATAGTGTATGTATGTAGATGTGAATATATAGATAGATAGACACTTATTTAAAAAGTTCGATTGATTGATTATTTATTGTGGTGATAGGTAAATGGGTGATGCATGAATGCTAGGAAGCAATTGTTGAAACTGATCTCAAGAATGGAAAGTCTCTGAAGGAAGTTCAAGTTATTGGTTGAATACATTCTTTTTCAATATTAAGAATCCAAAATGCATTAATAAGGTTTCGGAAATTATTCAATTTTTTGAATAGATTTTTTAATTTTTTAAATTTTTAATTGTCATAAAGGTCCATTGTTTGTATTAATATACATATACATACACTATGCATATACAATTGATACTATATACGTATGCACTATCCATCATTAATTAAAACTAAGACTTTGTCAATTTTTGAAGTTTTTTTTTAATATTTTTTTTAATTGTCCAAAAATTAACGTCAAAGATTAAAAATTCTCAAACCAAAGGACACACACACACGCACACACACACACACACATATATATATATATATATATATATATATATATTAAATGAAATATATGAATTTAAAAGAAAAATTCAATCAAAATTTTGTGCAAAGTTGTAAAAAAATTGACAATTATTAGTTTATTTCTTTACATATTTTTTAACTAAGAGATAATTTGTGTCTTCCTAAGATAAGGTTCTTCTTGCATAGTATTCTGTAAGAGGAAGAAACAACACCAAATGACAATATTTAGGGTTAAGAATCTAAATTCTTAACTGGCCCAAAGAATATGAGTGGTGATACTCTACTTAGTTGTTGCACTTGTCATTCACATGCCCTACATTTAAGGATGTAGTAGCTTGATGAGGAATCCCTAATGAGGAGCCTGTAGAATATGTATATCAATTAAGAACAGGGTTTTGTTTAACAAATTTATTTAAGCTTACAAATGTATCTAATGTATTTATTTTAATAATAATAATAATAATAATAATAATAATTTCACTGATGTCAAAATCAAAACGCTGTAAGGATTTTTTTTTTAAAAAAATACCAATAAAGTAAAAATAATAATAACATTGTATCAAATAAAACGCTCTTATTTAGTGTCACATACATGCCTTTTTGATGCAGAGGTTAAATTTTCTCAGCATCAAAAATTTGAAACCACATTCTGAAAAGGAGAAGGAGGAGAAAAGAAATCACGTCATACACATACACAAACTTATGTTTGACACAAAAGTGTGTTTGTAAGTAAAATTTCCATAGCAGAGTCCTCATACAAGGGATAGCACATGTATTGATAAGTTGTAACAACAAACTTGATGCAATATCTTTGTTGATAACACTGCAAAAACATTCATGCCTATCATAGGATATTATTAGTACCCAACAGAAGAAAGTGCAAAGAATATCATTAGTTTCTTTCCACTAAAGACAGTGAGTTTATTAAATTAAACATACAAATGAGTATAAAAAAATCCATTCAAAATTGTAATTTTACTGGGTAGCTATTCATCTTTTCATTTCTACTCATGCTTTTAAAGTTACGAGTGACCATTTTCCAACTACATAATCAATTTCAGTATTGAGCCATTTTTTTCTGTCTTTCCATTTTTTTTAGAAAAAATAAACAATCATTGATAATAAACAAGTAAATGAATGAATATACCCATAAAAATAAAATCAAAAATAAAATCAATTTAAGTGATAATACTCATTCCTAACAATCATATCATATTTTGGTTTAAATCGCATGCTCATTATCTAATCTTATTGATTCAGTCAACTTGATTCATGTTCACATTCTTATTTTCATGAGGAGAAAATCAATAGCTTTTATACCCATCGCACAACACTCTTTTCATCTTTCTGGATTTCATGAATTTATTTACAGTATGATATGTAACTAATGAAGAAAATTTCTTAATTTAAATCAAGAAATGTCCGTTTAAAATGTAATTCTATGAAACACCACAAAACTCCAAGTATTTTTCTGAAGGAACTATTTATAAGCATCATTTGTTTTCTTAGTAGAAACCAGACAGTACAACAACTATAACTTAGTACTATACAAAAAATCAAATTTAAATAATGAATAAGATTAAAACCACCTAAAATGTCGAATATCCATTTCGTACATGATGTTATGAAAATTAGAGTCTAGGATACTAAAATTGCGGTTATATTAATTATATTTAATAAGAATTAAAAACTTCAAAAAATATGTCAAAGTGGATAGTAGTAGCAGTAATAAAATTGTGGTTGCATTAGCCATATATATATATATATATATATATATATAATATTACAAATATAATGTAATTATATATTTATTCATAAAATTACCATGTGTTTATAATGAATGTGTGATTTGAGCCACTATTATTGGTCAAGCAAACAAATCATCTTACTATCACTTGAGTAAGAAAATTATTGCATATGACATTTCTTCAGAAAATGAAGTTTCTTGCAATCACATGATTATGTTGACAAAATTATACTTATAAAAAACTTGTACAAAAAATAATATATATACATATTCATGTGTTTTAACTAGGTACACACTTATATAAGTATACTTATAAGTGTAAATTTAATAATACTATTTCAATTGAATAACATTATAATAATTTATTAAAACTTAAATACATAATAAACTTAATAATGGACCATACATTAATAATACAAGTTGCATATGTACATTAAAGATTCTTTCAAAAGCAAGTGAATCTATCTAGATCCCATCATTACAGCTATGCGTAGAAATAAAGAAAAGAGAATATATAAATATATAAATATAAATATATATATATATATATAGACTTTTACAGATGTTCATTAATTAATTTTTTTATTTGTGTGATGTGAGTGTGTATCATAATGAGGCACAATATTAATATTTATTATCAATAAGTTTCTCACTTGATGTTAGTAGTTTGATGACTTTGCCACCTTCACAAGCCTTTTTGCACCCTCGTTTGAGAATGAAAGTGTTCACTTTTTAAATATAACTAATTGCCTGAACGAACCCCATTTGGCCTGTTCTGTCTGTTTCTTTCCCATGGATGACAACCGCAACAGGATGGATGAAAAAGAGATAACGAATGATGTATATGGATGTAGAATCCAAGGGATGAACGGAGATCCAGTGGATGGATGAAGGTATGAATTTCAATGGATGGATTGTACACACAAGTGCTTACACCTCTCTTTCTCTTGCTCATTTGATGTGCACCCTGCACCACCTGATTTCCCTGCTTAATACCCATTCGACAATCCCCTTTTAATTCCCCCACTTGCTTTTATTCATTTGTTTCTTTATTTGGCATTCTCATCCTCAAATGTGTTGGGTTCATCCCTGAGAGTGTGCCGTTTCTCATCCCCACCTGTTCATCCATCCACATGAAGACCACAAATGAGAGTTGGATGGGTGTTGCATGCAAAAACAACGAAGAACCCTAGCTGTTGGAAGGGTAGTAGTAGTAGTAGTGAAGTAGTATTAGTATTAGTAGGCTTAGGGGTAGTTTAACTATTACTTTAATGTTGTATATAGAGTAAAATAGATATTGCAACAATGAGTGGTGGGATGAATCACATGTGGTTTGGAGTGAGGTTGTGGGCATGCTCTTTTTTTGGTTTAGCTTTTTCCTGGTGCTAAGTACACAAAAAAAAATCACACGAATAAAAAATGAGAAATAAATAAGTATTATAACAAAACAATACACTGATACGAACAGGAGAGGAGGAGGAGGAGGAGGGGTAGAGCCCGAGATGTGCGACTGCCCGGCCCCTCTGCAACACAGATGGATGGATGAATGAAAAAGAAGAGTGGCCCTCAAGGCATTTGCCAAAAGCCTGTGGGAGCTCACATCACCATCATCACCCTCACAGAAGGTAAAAAAATGACACACTCTGATAAATGGATGAATTTAATCCACAACAATTCATCCACATTCATTCATATTGTAAATAAAATTGGACTAGGGGGTTGTACGAGGTGTGAATAACATCCCTACCGAACTGAAAGGGACTTTCGCAGACAAGCTCCCTTTTGGGAGGAGGGGGGGATGGATGAGGATGAGGACCTTACAATTGCGTCTTTGTTTCATTCATCCATGGAACATTCATCCACCTTCCCCTCCCCCCCCAACTTATTGGGCTTTACCTAACCTAGGAAGAATAATTGTCAATAACTGCTCCCCCCCTCGGACGGACATGCACCCAGAAATAATAATAATAATAATAATAAAATCTAAACGTGGGCAACTCCCTGTTTTTTAGTATAAAAGCTTCACACTCCATGAAGCGCCCCACATCGAAACCGAAGACGCACATGGTGATTAGTGGAGGATTAGTGGAGATGATCTAACACTTGGCTGTGAAAAAATGCAAGGGGGCGGGTGTGAGTTGGACCATGACCTGCTGGGCCGGTCACCGACCAGTCTGACTGACCTCCAGGTAACCAAAGAGTACAGACGTGAAGAGACCCCCCGCCCCACCCGGCCTCCATCACCAGCGCTGGACAACCCGGCCCGGCCCGACCCGGTCTGGGCAACGCCAGGAGCAATAATACGGGGAAGCAGAAGCGTGAGTGAGCGAGAGCCTGAGCCTGAGCATGGCAGGCGGAGATGGAGGTAATCACCACGACGAGGATGCGGGAGAAAGAAAGAGAATGTCTCTTACGGTTGGGGGAGTATTATTATCTAAAATTTATTGTTATATAATGATAATTATAATTGGGGTATTCAGTAAACCGGAGTATTATTGCAAAGAAGAAGAAAAGAGGAAGTAATCGTGTGTCGCGTTAAATTAGTTGCGCATGCGGCTTGCCGCATTCTAGATCGGGTTGGTTTGCTGTTGCATCCATTGCCGTCTGGCTCCCGAAAAGGTAACCCCCGTCTTCCTGGCAGCAGCAATTCGTGGTGGTCGATGCGTCCACTGGGAATAGCTGCGGTGGCTTTTCCATGGATCGTCAGCGTCCGTCGATTAAATATCTGTGGGGTTAGAGAGGAAATTTTGGATTTGGGCTCTCTTAGGGGACTGGGAGAGGGAGAGGAAGAGATTGAGAGAGAGAGAGAGCACTTGGCTGACGAGCCACGGTAGAAAATTATTGGAAGGGAGGTGCTTTCTTTCTGTATTCAATGTCCTTCTGTCACTACCCCCTCCTGGGTTGTGGTTGGAAGTGATCAATTCCAGAACTGGGTGATGATGCCCTACGACCGGAGTGATAGGCAGTGGAGAGCGAAAGCAAAAATATTGCAAAGAAAGAAAACTAAAAACAAAAAACAAGTTAAACAGAAGGAAATCGATTGTGTACGCGTCGCTGGACGTTGTCGTCATCGTCATACGCAGCAGTGGTGATTGTTGCGTGAGGGCTTTTACATTTTTTCAAGTCTGTGTTTTGCATGATGCGGGTTCTGCCAGTGTGACAGAATTATAGTTTCACTTGAGGGGGTTGATTGATCGAGCCCGCGGAAGTGGAGGGAGGGAGCCGAGGATTGGAGTACCTAGCGCAGGGCAGGAAAATTGGGTTTCTGTGCGCCTGGCCAGGTTTGATGAGCTTTGCTACCCTGTCTGCTTGCTTGGCAAATTTAATCAGCATGGTACTTGTAGAGGGGTGTAGACAGGGTGTAGAGATGGGGCTTCTGCGGGGTACACAGTATTATACCTTAGGCACAGGGTCGGGGAGTGTCTTTGGTTACAGGCGCGTGGTTTTGTAGGTTGCCTGTACGATATCCTTGCCTTAGTACCAGTATGAGGGTGAGATTTCACAGTGGTGATTTTACCCTCCCCTCCAAGCTTCGCCCAGAATTTTCTATTCTCCCTCCCGACGCTTGTGGCCGGATCCAGGTCCGACAGCTCTGTCCGGGAGGGGGTGGACTTTGATGAGCTCTGATGATTCTTAGATTCTGTCTAAAGTGGAGGTGGGATTACTGATGCGTGTTGGGTCGTGAGGAAGAAGGAAACATCACCAGGGAGACAGTGAGAAGCGGGAGAGTACACGCCTTGACACAGTTCTCTGCTTCTGCAACTGTTCATATTTTGTTGGTTGCCTACTTTTAGAACGAGGATAGATTTTGTTTTGATTTTTTTTTTTTTTTTTTTTTTTTTTTTTTGTAGTGCGATCCCCTGCAGGTGTGTGACAAACGAGAGAGAGAGAGAGAGAGCGAGAGAGAGAAAGAGAGCGCTCGAGGGAGCAGGAAAGGTTAACAGTGCGGGTAGGCTCGCATGTAAAATCGCACTTGGCTTTCAGATGACAGTTTTTTGATTACTGTAAGTGGTCGTAAGCTGCTACTGTTGTGTGACTCTGTCTCGAGCTCTGCACATCACTTACAGATCGAGCGCCTCGTGTAACTCAGCCTGGTCTTACAATCCTTGCTTTGATTTGCTGAGCCAATCTTCCTCGCTCGTGTCTGCACATCTCAACTGCATTTCCTGCTTCAAGCAGATGAAGTGATTCAAGTGTGTTTAATGCCTTGCACCTGCGGAGGAGCTTCGCGCTTAGCATGTGAAGTGTCCTGGAGACTTTACTTACAGTTTACGAGCGTTTCGAAGACAAAGTGTGATTGTCGGTGTAGGGAGGACAGGACCTGGGACTGTTGTCTCACTGGAAGGACCCTAGAGTTTTTGGCTTGTCTTAGGTTATTACTCTAATTGTTTTCGAGAAGTTCAGTGTCAGTATTTGTCGACCTCGTGTTATCCCGACTAATTCTTGAAAGTGTGAAGGAGTGTCTAGATAGAATGCATTGGGAGAAGAGCTACTGCTGCTGCAGATTGGGGTTTTAGTGCGGGAGCTAGCGGAGTAAGGGACGAGTTGCAGAGTGACCTGAGAGATAGTGGCCTTGAGGCAAAGCCTGCACCGTCTGAAAGAGGGGCATGGTCAGCTCATATCTGCGCAATAACAACGACGACTGGGTTTACAATCCCGAAGATTTGCTCACCTACCGTGTGGAGAAGGCATTGGACGACGTAGAAAGGTGTGCAAAAGAAGTAAGGTCATATGGTGGTGGGAGAATTAGGAAGCCGGGACGGCGGAAAAAGGCAGCGCAGGTCATAGTGCGATGGATTTGGGGTCTGGCCGTGACGGCACCGATCAACAGCAACAGCAGCAGCGAGGTCCGCATCAAACTCAGCAGCAACAACAGCAACTACCTCAACCCCAGCCACTCGCATCGTTGCCTACCTCTATTCCCTTGCTACTGCCGCCGGCGCTGGCCGTATCCAACTACCACCCCACTCCAGTTTCAGTGCAGCCGCAGCACCAACAGCATCATGAGATGCCAGGTGCTGCGAAGCCGAAGCTGCTGAATACTCCAAGCGGCAACGGAGGCTCGGTGCAATCCAAGAGCGACCATGTAGCCGCAGATCAGGCTCGCGAGATCGTACGTCAAGCAGTGCAGGTTGCGGGTGCAGCCTCAGAATCGGCATCCGCGAAGCTGTCAAATGTGAAGAAGGGTGCCTTCCGGTACCGGGAGTGCCAAAAGAACCATGCAGCCAGCATTGGTGGACACGCCCTCGATGGTTGCGGGGAGTTTATGCCCGGTGGCCAAGAAGGTACGGTGGGCGCGCTCCGGTGCGCGGCCTGCGACTGCCACCGGAACTTCCATCGTCGAGAAGTCGAAGGCGAAGTTCTGTGCGAGTGTAAGCGCAAGCCGAAGCCTGGTATGCAACTGGGTGCAGGGATTGTCACACCCCACCAGCTGCCCGGCGGGACCAACACATCTACCCCAATGGGAGCTCTGGCGCTCCCGCCCAGCGCTGGCGCTATGACACCGTTGACGACGGCTGCATTGAGCGCTGGCGGTCTCACCGACAGCGACGAGCAAGACGACGGTCTTGGTAACAGTGCCGGTGGCATGATGATATCCATGAGGTCCCCCTCTGCGATCAAGAAGCGATTCCGGACGAAATTTTCGACAGAGCAAAAGGATCAGATGTGTGCGTTTGCAGAGGAGCTCGGTTGGCGCATCCAGAAACACGACGAAGCGGCCGTGCAGGAGTTCTGCACGACGGTCGGCGTCAAGCGGCATGTCTTGAAGGTGTGGATGCATAACAACAAGCACACTGTAGGAAAAAAGCCGTAACCTTCATGACATCTGCAATTCTTGGCAAAGTAGATGCACCTCTTCATTTTTCTCAGATGTACCTTGATCAACTACGATCCACGCTTCTCCTCCCATGCGGTTGACAAGTCTTTATGCTCAACGACACTCCAAATTCTGCTTACTAAGTATCAACCGCCTGCGACATCTTGAGCTTTCACAATCTGCCATGCCGCTATGCATGGCACAGTTGCCGCCTGAGTTCTCAGGAGCCTTGTTAGTTAAAGAATTTGGTCCACAATAAGATCGGTGGTTGTTTTTCATTCGAATCATTTTGGATGAAGCGTGGATCACTCAGCAGAACTTCCATAGCTGTCGAGCTAGAGTACTTGTTCAATTGAAACGCCCTGCTGCGTCACTGCTCGGCCAGCTCACGAAGACGATAATGACCCCTGTTTGTAAAGTACTAGAGATTAGCTTCGATTTCGTTGGCTCAAGTGTAGCACTGGTAGATCAAAAGTACTGTGGGAGTAATTGATAGACTGCTACAATTTCTAGATTAGTTAACATTGAATCACATAAGAGAGATGTAGTAGCAGCAGCTTGGATTTCATTTCGGTCGATTGCATTGCCAGCATTGGCATCGAAGTCGACATGTTCTAGAGCCCGCTCCTGCGGAGCTGTGAGTGACCCACGTGATGCCATATCAGCAACAACGACGCAGCACAATGTTGTCCCAGAGGATCATATCGGGAATCTGGGCTTCATTGTCACATTGTAACGTGGTTGTCAGAATACTCTCTCCATTTATTTATACCTATGATATTATTTCTTCTTGCTCAATTCCCCCGCCCTTTGAAATACGTTTGATTCATTCTTGCCAGTTTTGAGATGTGCATGCGAGACCTCATGAATTTCATTGTGAACGGCGAATAGTGTCAACAGTAAGTTTAATTACCTATTAAAACACATGTCTAGGATCCAGCCGGCGGAGAGGGAACACAAAATTGAGAGAGCGAGACTGTCATCACGTATAGATCATTCATCGAAGTTAAAAAGACCGTTGTATTTCTAGTGCTGCAACCATGACGGGTCTCTGATCAACCCCTGTTTCTTTTTATGCACACCACACCTGGCATTCGCCCCGAGAAACTGAACTGGCGCTGAACTTGGGTGTTAACTGGTCACCTTGATTTAGATCATTACCTGCGGCAGTTCCAAGCAGCAGATTTACTGCCATCCAAATTAGCCTGTGATCTTCACTCGTTGCACGCGGCCTTGGACACGATCCTGTTGTGTACCGATGCAGTCCCAGATCTTCCATTCCCCCCCCCCCCCCGATTTCACCCACATTCGAAACGTGCTTTCGCGCCCGCAGCTTCGTGCCTGAGATCTCCCAGGTCGGCATAAAACTACACGCTTCGTTTGTCGTGGACACGGATCAACAAAGTTCCTGTTCAGCAAGCAGTGATTGCAACCGAGCAGGGTCGCCGTTGACTCGAGATCGCTCCACGAACTGCACAGAGTCTCGATCCAAGAAGCGCGAAAATATCCGAACCTTATTGTTAAAGTCCATGTGTGCCTCGGATAACCTGCGTCGATCGATGCTGCGGAGCCTCAAATTGAGCATCGTTGAATGGAGGAGACGAAAGCTCCTGAGCGCAGACCGGTCGATTATTACACCGATCTCGACGAATGCTGGCCTCGATTGCCGCACAAAAACGGCAGTGCGTTGAATTCGGAGGCCGTGGAAGCGCGATTTTGGACGGATCTGCAAAAGCAACAAGTTCGCCGCATCGATCTCTCGACCTAACAGTAGTAGCAGAAGTAGAAGCAGCTCCTCCACCCCACCCCCACCCCACCGACCGATCCCTCCCCTTTGTCTTGCTACACCCCCCGCCCCCACGCTTTCCTTCTTGGGGGGATGGATGGATGAATAAATAGATACATTAATGGATGAATGTTCATGGATGGATGATTTGTGGATGGATGAGGGAATGGATGCGTCATGTTTCGGTTCTTTCGGATGAATACATACTTTCATCCAACAAACTCTTCTGCCCAAGAACCTGTTGTCCTCTTATTTTTGCTTTATTTATTTAATTTTTTTATTTTGAAAATCATATTCTTATTATTTATTTAATTATTATTATTATATTTTAAGGTGCTCATTTAGATAATTGCGGATGCTTATAAAGTTATGCTATGCAATAATCTTGTTTCTAACAAATTTTTGTGACCTTTTTGAAATAGACTTATTCTTGCAAAAGAAAAGTTCAATAAATACTTTTTTGATTTTTTTTTCTAAGAGATTTCAGTTGTTAGATGTAAGCCTTCTAAAGTATTAAATATCGGTTATTTTATCATATATGTATCTCAAACTACATTGGGTCCTCCTATCATTTTTGATGAATGCAAGTAGCTCTTTGAAATGATTTTCATAATTTTCACACAATAAAATAAAATTGTGTGTATTATTCTGCTTACACGTCAATGTATTAGTAAGCAACTTTCATGCCCCTTTTTGAAATTATCAATTTGAATTTGATTCAACAAGTCCTCTACTTAAACTCTTTTTCAAATCTTTTTCTACTTTTGTTGTGTACTATATATATATATATATATACATATATACACTACAAATCTAATTTAAAGCCAATTATTTATTCTTATTCTAATATACAATGTAACATTTAAATATTACGGATTTAGTACAAGATTCTTAATTTGCTGTACACAATAATTTTCAGTCAATAAAGAAACTCATAATTTTTTATTAAGAATATTCACAAAATTTATTTTAAGTAGTTGAGAAATAATTTAATATACACCTTTACCAAAGAAAATAGCATACTAAAAATAAAATTTGTTTTATAGTTCAAAATATAAGGCAACCAACAAATTAAAGTTCAATTTCTTGTTGTCAAAAATCAATAAGGTATTGTTTCTATTCTCTTAATCTAAATCCTTATCAATAAAAATATCAACTATTTTTATTTACAAGGAGAGTTTTTTTTTTTTTTTTTTTTTTTTTTTCCCTTAATACTTTAAAAAAATTAAATAAAAACACAAGAGTGCTAACTAAAAGTTATGTGGGTTTTGAAAGAGATTTGATAAGACCTTATTATAGTTATTTTATGTTATATACTCTATTAGTAAAAAAACACATCATGGTGCACAAAAATTGTTTCTTGTTATTCAAATTAATCTCACTTTAAATAAATGATATTGCTAATGTCACCACATTTTTGCTTTTGCCACCACAACTTGCCACTAAAACTTGCTACCCACTTAACATACTTCTTTAGTTTAGTTTAGTTTAGTTTATTTATTTATATATTTGATTTCAATAAAAAAAGATATTGTTAATATTTTTAATATATATTGAAGTGTAATGAAATGGTTTATAAAATGTAGCAAAAAGAAGATTTTGAGTAAAATTTGAATAAATTTTATGAGGTTGTGTTGGTAATAGCAAAAACAATGGTGACATTTGCAATATCCTAAATAAATCTTCACTAAATCCCATGTGAACTCTAATTAATACTCTTGCTTAAAGAAAGCCTTTCTTATAAACAATAAAAGTTGATACTCTAGCTGGTAGGGATTAGAAGAGTGGATATATCACCCCTTTATAAATTATCATGGTAATAACTACCAAAATTTGAAGTCATATTTTAATTTTTGATTAGTAAACTTATAAAAATGTGAATTTAGTTGTAAATATACCATTTTATTATCATTATTTGTTTCTCACTCAAGAAATTAAATTTGAAAAGCAAACTAGAGAAAAATGTTTATCACAATTGCAATGAACACTCTTTGTCATAATACTTGGTATAAATTTTAAATGAATTATGAATAATGCAACTATTGTGAGGAATTTTTGAAAAATATACTAAACAAGTCCCGTATTAAAGGTCGAATCTAGATCAAAATAAGATGAAATAATATCAAACCACAAAATTTAATCTAAAAATAAGGCTTACAGAAGACTAAATATTAATTGAGATAAGACAGATTCTAAATAACATCATAAGTTAACATAATAAAAAACCTTATATTTTAAAAAATGTTCAATTTTATTTTATGACAATATTCTTATGTGATTTTTTTCTATAACATCACACTTTTTAGCAAAACTGCATTTTAATACAAATACATATATTAAAACATTCAATAATTGAGATTCTAAACTAACTCATTATTTTATAACATTTTATTCAAACACCATAGTGAGCCTGTAAATTGTAGCATGTATATACGTTGGAGTAATATGTGGAGAAATGATTAAGAACAGAGTTATAAATTGAGGTCCCAGCTAACTTTTCCAACATTTCTCCCGGTAGTCTTGCCAATCAACGGTTGACCTCACAGGGAGATCTGGGCCAGGAATGGAATATACTTCGAGGCTGCGTCAAATCACCATTGTCTAGGTAATAACTAGAGATTCTTGTACAATTATCTAACTGGAAAAAAGTCCACCGACATTAGCAATAATTCCACCATTATATCCACAATGAGATGAAGCATTGACAAGGTCAAATTATTATAATTGCAAAAGTATCAAGTAACATTAGTTCAGAGCTGTCATGGCAATGGAAAAATTCATGAATAATTAAGTCCAAGAAAAGGGAGGAATAATAATTTGAGCACTTTCAACCGTACATGCATTTCTTTTCGATACATGACCACCTAAACTCCGACCTACTGCTAATTATGTGGCTGCGAATCACTGTACAAAAAGCGTATAAAGTTACAACAGGTTTCCCTAACCCTCTTTTCATCTTTCGTCTTCCTAGCTTCCTTGAACCCAGAGACGAGAACATTTAAAAATCCAATGCACAACTAACGTTGTTGCTGCCGGTAATCAGGTCGATGAGGAGAGGGAGGTTGAAATCCGGAGTGAGATGCTCGGGCATATGCCCCATCAATGTCTACATACTGCGCTGTTGGCTGCATCCAAAAACAGATGAGAAGGATGAAACCTGACGCTAGGCAGAAGCAATTAGAACTATTTCACAAAAACTTGAATTCGGTAGAGGCACCAACCCTCAAGATTAAGTGGATAATTTGCCTAGGTTGATGTATTACTGTAGATGCCTTTTGATAATATTAAGCTACATCGTAGTTCAAGGATATTCAGGACTAAGAAGAGATACCTGCTGCATGTAATGCTGACCACCATAAGCAGGAGGCTGAGGTCCACCAGGCATGCCACTGCAGACAAACCGAAAGTTCTATGAGTGCAAAATCTTCACATAAGTGCTTAAAATAGATTGCATCTACTGCGTTTGAGTCGAGACAACATTACATCAACTAGGGGCATTCAGTTGACTCTTCCCTGAAGTTTGAAGCGTAAGAAATAAACAAACTGATACCCCAATTCAGTGCACATGACTCCAAAATACTTACCCAAACTGCTGTCCTCGACCACCGACTGGAGGCCCTCTACCACCGCCATACGGACCAGCAGGATAAACCCCTCCAGCAGGCCCACCGTAGGCGCCACCCCTTCCACCCTGGTGCCCCATGTTGGGAGCTGCAAATCCACCAGGTTGGGCAGGCCCTCCATAAGCCCCGCCAGGTCCACCACGGTTAGGTCCTCCATATCCACCATTTTGATTTGGTCCTCCGTGTGGAGGGCGTCCACCTCCAGGAGCTCGGCCTTGATTACTGCCTCCTTGACCCCTGATATCGGATACAGCTGGTCAGACGTGATACACAGAAAGATACTACAGGTGCAAAGAGGAGGACATATTTTGGCTAGAACCTCAAAAAGTATAGTCATGCCGTTGACATTCCAGTACAAAAACCGACATTCCCCTCGACTAAAACAAATTCAGTTGGTCGAAGTGGATGAAAGCGAAACGCTTGTGATCAGCAATACCTATTGTAATTGTTGTGCTGATTAGCCATGCCATTTGCATGAATTGGTGGCCCAAGGTTGTGTCCAGGTTGATGAGGACCAGGACGTAGAGGTTGTTGCTGAATTGGTGGCAATCGTGTGTGTGGAGCTGGGTGGTGTAAGACTTTCATGCGTTTTGCCTGCTCCTCTTGCTGTTGCCGCTGTTGCTGCCTCTTCTTCTTGGTTTGATATTCATGAGAAGCTTCATATTTAGGCAAACTATCACAACCACATCAACTGGTCAATCAACTAACACTGAAAATATCTACGTGTTCGACGTACATGACAAACTAAGGTACTAACTTCATGGCAAACCTCGACAGGAACTTCAGTTTCGTAGTCGAGTGACAAACTTTTAACTTCTATCTTTGAATGTCAAATCTGTTATCGGGAACATTTCTCAAAGTAGAAACACACGAGTTCGAGAATACACAATTATGAGACATATCACTCACCTGCTAGGTTGGCATGGAAAAGGTTCAACCCAGAAGTATTCAGCATCCAAAGCATCCTTGGCAGAAATTCGCTGCAGAAACGAAAGCCATAATTGACACGAACACATGACTTAACATTCATAAGCGCCATGAAAAAGGGCCAAATATCATGAAAATTAGTTGCAAATTTAATTGCAAAAAATAAATGATGATGATAATGATGACGACGTTCGAACCCAAAACATGCAAGTAACAAGATGAATCCCGTTATCATACTCACATGATCAGGATCCAACGTTAACATGCGCTCCAAGAGCTCAAGAGCATGTCGGTCAAAACTGCGCGACAGTTCAGAAAAACAGTCATCAGAAAGCCACAGCGCTAACACACAACAGACTATCCACCTTTAAATGACCAAGAAGTAACAAAGAAAATACGGACGTTTAAGAAATAGAAAAAGAAAAAGTAAAAAGAAACAGCAAACGTACTGCTTGAAAACATCCTTCACACGGCGTTTCATTAGCCTCTCAGGCTTGAATTGATTGTAGTAAGGCAACTGGCTGACACGAGGCCAGTTGGTCTCATCTGGAGACCCACAGAGTTCGCAAATTTTCTGAAACTGTTCGCTCTGCAGCCAGCACATGCACCGCGTTATAGCAACCGAGAAAAACCAACATATTCCAAAATTATAGCATCCAGGAACTAATAATTAGAAGTATACCTAGGAAGTAAACCTAATGGATTTAAAGAGTGCTATGAAGAATGTCAAGAAATAGACATATAATTAGAACCACTGAGATGAATTATGACAGGAGACGAGGGGATGAAAAATAGTACAAACAGAGTAAAAAAATAAAAATAAAAAATAAAAAAAGGCTAAATATTATATAGCCTTCTTTGACAAGAAATAATTGTATGAACTAATTTCTCGTTTGGATGAATCAAGACAAACGAGTTAACGCTATAGTATTTCATTTTACAATCAAATACGCTTGGCACCAGTATCTAGTCTCTTCTCACACAAACATATGAAATGACAAATTTATGCCTAAGGCATCTAACCTTTCCGTATCCTACACAGTGTAAGAATGTGTTAAACCTGTGTGAATGTCATTTGATCAGGTCAAGAACTACAACCGTGTGTCCTGGCAATTAGGTGCTATCGTAAGGCTTGCGACCTGGAAGGTATGATAAGTTCATCCAAATCTAAGGCAGAGTCATTAATCCACGTTAACACATTGAAGTTCTGCGTAACTGAAGAAAGACAACGAGAAGACTCCTTAATCACACCTCGTTCCTTCCGGGAAGAATGGGTTTCCCGTTGAGAAGCTCGGCAAAAATACATCCCACTGACCACATGTCCACGGCTGGAGTGTACTTGGTGGAACCCAATAACAGCTCAGGGGGCCTGAAACAGGAAGAAGTGAAATTAGAAAGCCAGGTGACGTGCTAGTTGTAGTCTGCTACACATAATAGCGCAATCAATGTCTATACTCCGTCGAATAACTAGAGTACTATACCCCAACAGAAGACATCTAAAGCTCTATATGTTTCGGGAGATCAATAGCAGAAATAGAGCACTGATACCTTACCTATACCAAAGGGTAATGACCCGATTAGTCAATGGTTGACCATTCTGGTCGTTAGAAAAAGACCTTGCAAGCCCGAAATCGGCAAGCTTCAAAATACCGTTGTTGTCAATAAGAAGATTTGAACCTGGAAAAATAACCTCAGAAATTTCAAACACCTCCGAATGCATTATTTGATTCTAAGCAACGGACAATGAAAGAACGACCTATTCTAAATGAGAAGAACACATGTTTCGACGGAGAAGCTGCTTAACATTATACCCTTAATATCCCTGTGAAGAACTTGATTCACGTGGCAGTAATGTAAGCCCGTGAGAAGTTGCTTCATGTAACACTGCAGTGAAGAAGATCCATGTTAAAACTTGGAACTGGGCTGTGCAAAACGAGGACAGAAAAGTAAGGAAGGAAACAGAGAGAAAATTCGCTCAAGCAGTGAAGGTTTGATCCCACGAAGTACCTTGATTTGGGGAATAGAGAAGCGCATCCCAGGCCGATCAGCAAGGCCAGTCAAATCATGGTCCATGTACTCAAACACCATGTAAATAGAGCCTTTGAACTTACTCGCATCACCTGGCTTGATGTTGTCCTCTTTCTCAGGACCTGTTCACATCCAAAGACAACTCTTTCACCAAGGGAGAATTTCACACGCTGTTATCGAAGCACGAATTTCCAGTTGACATTACCCAGTAGTGGTGATTATCAATTTCACATGTGTTAACAAGCAAGAACTGCAAAGCGTCTGTTGCCAACTGCCATTACATTTCCTCTGTACACCCAAAATACAACAGCAATAGATAGTTTTAACTATTTACCTTTAGACGTCACAATCTCCTTCAATTTGATGACATTGGCATGTTGCAACTTCTTCAAGATCTTGATTTCCCGGATGGCTGTAATTGGAAACTGCATTCGAGAACAGAATTGACTCGTTGAATTCATTTCCCAATCCACAATCACAAGAACTAATTGCTTAATTACAAATAATATAACCTGTACAGTAGCCCATATTATCAAAGGGGCCTTGTATATCCTGAAACCTCACAAATTAGCTATCACTCGAGCAGATGGCCTAGTGCAGTATAAATAGCTGATAGCCCTCAATACAAGGATCGCTATGGTTACTCTAATGCATTCTTCATTCCGTTCTTCGAACAGGAGATTTCCGGAATCGCCACTCAAGAAGATATGACAAGTGAAATGAGTATATCTTCAGAGCCCAGAAATTAGAAAACACTCTCCACTAACTACTGCTGTACTCTACATAATAATAATAAAATCATCATACCCCTTCTTTCTCATTGTCCATACGAACTTTCTTCAGCGCAACAACTTCGCCCGTAACTTTGTCTTTCGCCATGTAAACTTGCCTGCAAAAGAAAAAGAACTTCCGCAAAATCCTAAGATTTTTTTTGTAGTTGTACATATCCATGAAAAGCAATCCCAAACAAACAAAATAAAAAGAAGCAAGGAGAGATCACCGCACCCATAAGTCCCCTCTCCAATCTGCTCAATTTTCTCATACACATCAACGCTCCGCGACCCCCACGTTGGAGTCTCGTCTAGATTCAGCTGCCCAGGCATGGCGCCCGCCATCCTCGACTCGCACGGCAGAGCCACAGACTTCAGAAGAGCACCTCCAAACCCCCTCCCTCCCCGCCCACGAATCGTCAGCACATCGCAAACCCCATTTCCGCGTATCGTCTCACAGCTCCACCCAATTCCTTACTCCCTCGCAAAACCATATCAAAACCTAAAACCACAAAAGCACGGACACGCAGGGAAAGCTGCGTGATGTTCAACTGGGTTTTGTGGGTGTCAAGTAAAATCCGCACGGGGTGCATGGCAGGGCGAGGACACGCTGAATGGAACCCTACAAAACTCGCGAGACGTCGCGAGCAGAGAAGAATTGCGAGGGCGATGGGGCAGAAGCGGAAGCGAGGAGAGCCATGGCGACGAGACAGACACAGAGACAGAGAGAGTGGCCCCCACCACAACCAGGAACCTGCTCCGATGGTTCTTTGGATCCTTTTACTTTAAAGCCCGTGCTCGCTGCCCGAAAGTAAAAGTGATGCCGTTTTGTTAATGGGGGTGTTTTGGAAATGTTTTATTTCTTCGAGGGGTAGACGTTTGTGTGTATATGATAGTTATTTACTTGTATTCATAAGAATATATGTATATATATATATATATATATATATATATACGGGAATTTAATGTCTAATTTTATTAATTTATTGTGATAAATAAATAGAGAAAAGTGGTTTTTTTGAAAATTGTTCTACATACTAAAGTTTATTATTATTATTATTATTATTTTAGGATATTTATGATAGGCATAGAAAAAAAATCTTTGAATGTGATAATTATTTTATTTTTATATGAATTATTTCTGATTTTACTTTATTTTTAATTAATATTTTTAATATGTATATTACATTATTAAAATAAGTATATTATGTACATTTGATGTGTTAAATTGTCACTCTACAATTTGAGAAGATTCAAAGTATTTAAAACTATCATAGTGTATAATAAGAGTGAGTATAAATACTAGTATTGTTATAAATCATTGATTTACTTACATGCTAAAATTTAGTATTTAAGAATAATTATATTTAAATTTTAAATTTTAAAATTTTAAAATGTTTTTTTATAACTTCCATACATTGCATAAGGTATCCATCTTTTACGTATCTTTTAAAAAAGAAAAAAACACAATATGCATATGTATCTTGTTAAATTTAGCTAATTTTCTAAATTTTAAGAATTTATAAACAATCAATATACAATTCCAAATGAGGAACATCACTCCACATTATTTCCTTCATTTACAACTTTACAACTTTTGGAAAAACAAATGTAATGTGTACCATTCTATCACCTATTACTTACTCGTTATTTAAATAACAAATCATTAGTCCTTCAATTCCGTTGTCAGATGCATAGGTGGGTCCAGTTGAATGTTCGATCTGGTTCTATCTTGCACTTCGTACACCGTGCCAGTGTCATAAGAACAGCCGAAGACAATGAACCTGCCTCGCTTTGTGGGCCTCATAGCTCTTTCGGTACCATTGGACTGCAGTCTCGTCATGCACCACAGCCCTCCAGGTTCTTTCGACACGTTCCTGGGTTTCGGTACCGTTCAGTTGATGAACGCGGCGCACCGCTTTGTGTTCTGTTACTCGCTCCGAGAACAGGTAGAGCTTTGCATCATTCTGTATCAGTTGAAATAGGGCGCCTTCTCTTAGGCAGGGGAGTAGAAATTTGACATTGGGCAACCAAATATCATTGTTTGTGTTGTAGCCAATTACTCTTCCTTTGTCACGGTTCAAGAATGCGATGCAATACAAAACTCCGTCGACACATACTCCATTCTGACGCGGATCCGGAGCCCATCGCCGGCCTTGGACGTCATCAAAAAGCGTCTACATCGACGCAGGAGAGTTGAACACCGTTTCTCTTGAGTGCCGGTCATCAGTTTTTCCCAACACAATGACCTTGTACAATTGATCGGCGGGATTGTACAGCATGTGCAAAAGAGCAGGGAAGCAGCGGAAGTGCAAGGATGGTAACGTTTTGGTCTTTCTTGTTAAGGGATTGACGACAATCAATTTCTCTTGTTGAACATTTTGTAACATGTTTATGCAAAGGAGGCCGTGGCTTGCATACAAGGGATATTTGTAAAACACACTAGGTTCCAGCGCAAGGAGATAAAAGAGGTAGCAACTGTCTCCAGGTATTTGTGAGCAAGTGAAAGCATGCCCAATGCCAGTTTTCCTGCCTTCCGGAAAAAAGTACATGGGAATTAGTTGTGCTTCATCAGAGCGACGGTTGCCTCGCATGTGGTGAAATGTGTCATTGTAAATGAGGTCACAAAAACGTCGTAGTGCCTTCCATCAACATGCTTGCTTGTACGAAGCAACATGAGAATGAATTCTAGAATATGTGTGAGAAGAGAACTTATTTCACCCTTAGATGGAAAAAGGCTAAGGAATTGACACAAAGTAGATTCGATATCGTGCACAAACTTCAATGTCTTACATGACTGTGAAATCGGTGACAAGGATATTTGATCGCTGGAAGAAAGATGGCGAAACAGGAAGGCAATGCTCGTTAGGTTTGCATTGCAAGTTGTATAGAACATGTTTTGTATTTGCCGCTAGATTGCGTATCCTCAATGATAAGATCTCCCTGGTGGCAACTCTGGTTTTTCATACAGAGACTCGGATTAGTAAAGTTTATAAAGGATTGGTTTTGAAACTATTACAAATGCAAGAGTCCACTCTCTAATTACTTACAAACATTTATCTTGCCTCCAAATCATACCTTTCCTTGCATTATGTGAGAAGAACTCAATGCATGCATTGTGTTAGAAGTTATATAAACCACTAAACAATGAAATCACTTGTTTTTCAAATTATCAGACATTGAGCACAATTGTTGCATCACAACAGCTAATTATTTGAAACCATATACTTGGCTTCAGTCAATTGTTATCTAATATGAATTATATAGAATTCATGCAAAGTAGTTGTCAAAATATCTTATTGTAGAGCATCACATACCAATATTTTTTAAAAGTTTGTTCATATTGAGATAAGACAACCACTGTGAACAAACTTTAAAAAAAAAACTAAGTATACCAAAAACTTTAAGAGTTTAACAACCATTGTTACTATATTTAGTTTGTTTATTAAAATTGGTTATTTTATAAATTTACTATTTCATTGCTGATTATCTATTTTTTTTTAGATTAATAATAAAGTATTTTTTGGCTGTAGCAATAAAAAAAAATAGTATACCAAAAAATCTATTTTAAAACAATTGGCAATAACCACTTAAAAAAATCTTTTGATTCAAAACAATTTTGATGCATCTTTATACTCCAATTGTATCATGAATTTCATATAGTTCAATGATATAAATTTATTTGTATTTTAAATATGTTCTTTTAATTTTATGTGATTTTACATGTGCACAATTATCCAACTTTTGTAAATATATATATGCACACTTATCCAACTTTTGTGTGTGTGTGTATATATATATATATATATATATATATATATATATACAAACAATAATGTATTTAAATATATTTTACTGGTGATATATTTGTATTTTTTAATAACTATTACATGGCTCAAAATTAATAAGGATTTTTTAAGAGTAAAATATTTTATTGGTTTTATAATAGAATTTTATATTTAATTTTTTCTTCTCTCTCTCTCTCTTTTTTTATTTTTTTATTTTTTTTCATTTTCCAACATAATTAAAATTTTAAATTTAGTCTATGCTAGAATTTTTGTAAATGCCTTCAAAAGTGATATAAGGATCACTTGCTAACTTGGAACATTTTTACTTGAAATCACTTTATAATAAATATGTAGCTAATATTAGTGATTCTAAATCATTGTGCCTTTAGATTTCACTTAAAATTACTCATCTTTTTATAATTTTTATTTAATTATTTCTTTTCAAATGGTTAGATAAGAAAATCATATTGATTACTATTAAAGATAATAAAATGGTGGTTACTATGCATATTTTTAAAAATATTAAAGAATAATTAACATTCTTCCATTGTAACAAATCTTCATCATGAAAAACAAAAGATGCATATACTTTTTTCAAAAAACTACAAGTTTTATAAACAACTTATTATATTAAAGTAAAGTAATTCTCTTTTCTTTTAATTTTTTTTTTTTTTTGGTGTTCTCTATGGATAGTTAATTGTTGGCTACACTAAAAGTATTTAACAATATTTCTCTATTGTTTTTGTGTTACATTAGATTACTTTGGTGTTGGTTTTGTCAAATATTTATTCATATTATAACACCACTGAGTATAAGGTAGTTGAACATTTTTAGTTTCATCCATAAATCAATAATTTTTTCAACATCAAAGTATTTATGTCAAACAGAAGGAGTCAATAATTTGTCTTCTTTCAAATTTATTTTATTTATTGCAAAACGACAAGGTATAAATGTAATAAAAATAATAGGCGCATCTATAAATGTCGAGAACTCTAAATTTAAGACAATAAAATTGATATGAATGTTTGTTTCTGTATGTAAATAAAAAAAAATCAATATATATATATATATATATATATACTGATTTGATGACACAATATACAATGCTGTAGTTTTAGTTTCTCTGTTATATTCTACAAATGTTTTGACTATTATCAAATAAATCTTGTAATTAAATAGCATAATCTAGATTATATTTTATTTATATGATTTATTTTTTATTTTCAAAACAGAGCTACTACATTTTAAGTTCAAAAATTACAACCATACTTGTGCAAATACTAATGTGGACAAGACATATATGCTATATTTTAGTATTTTTTTTTAATTTAATTTATATGCAACTATAAGTTATGTCAAAGATATCAATTATATATATATATATATATTACATTTAATAATATTATTTATAAGGGTTTGATTTATTTAGCAACAAAATCATTAAAAAAAGTTTTAACAATCCTATTCATGTTTTAAAATCTTGATTAACTTTAAATTATCTACCCGTGTCTTTAATCCATTAAACCTATCACATTGATTAAAATATTTAGCCTGTTTTTATTTTATTTTTGTAATTTCTCTTAATAAATTTTCAATGTGTTATTTTAATAATAAAAATTAGATGCACATTAATATACCACGAATTGTTTCAAAGATAATTAAATCAAAAATATTTTTTTTTCAAAAGTATTTAGTGTATTAACTTGTTTGTTAAATCACAACTAAGTTTAAAGACCATGCATACATTAAATGTATGTATACACACCAACACACCTCCCTATCCACTACCTAGATGAATTAGCACATACCCAACTCAATTCAACATCACTGGTGTGCCTTCACAAAACTTGCAAGAAACAAGTGCAACCACTACGAAGGAAACTCTTTACCAGAATTATGTTACATGGAAACAAAGACTTGATGAGTTCAGGGAATGTCAGAACATTAACTATGGGCACTACCCCACATTCTTATTATAAGAATATACGAAGAAGGTTGCCAGCTACTGTTATTACTGTTCAAAAAGCTCCCACCCTTCATAAGCTGTGCGCCCAGCTTTACCTCTCATCAAGTTTAATGTGCTTTTGCAGGCAGTATATACGTTGAAAAACGACGTGAGGGTGAACAGGTCCAGCATTGTTAGGTCTTCAGATGCTGGATCGGAGAATTCACCGTTTCTGCCAGTGCCATTCTCAGCTCCTGCACATTACACAAAAATTATGAGCTCTCACTTTTGGCTCTTGTGTGAGAGTAAAGTGCCATGGGCAATCCTTGCACGAAAAACACGCACCAACTTTATAAGTATGTGGTTGTAATTGAATGATGTGTGCAATGCCGAAGTACATGGGCTCTTGGAGGTAAAGACAAACCAGGTATCAGCTGCGTGCAGATCAGCTTGTCGTCCACCAATCCTGCATCTATGAACTTCATCACACCTTTGACTTTCACTTTCCCTGTGTAGCCGTATGGGAGATGATTGCCGAGGATTATGGCATCTAAAGGATCGCCTGAATCAAAAGAAGCTGAACTCAGAGTGGATTCAATAGAGTCAAGGGACTAGAGCAGTTTGAACCACAGATTTAATTGATACAATTTACCCAGATCTGATTTTACAATGGAATAATATCAGAAGTGTAATATGATATTCGGTTCCAGAGTAATTATTTCTAAGCTTAATAAGACGATGTTGCATGAGCTTTGAAAAAAAAATCTTGAGAGATGCAAGCTAAATGTGCAAGTGCTTTACCATCAGGTGCAGGTATTGCAGGCACGGACCCGTAATTGAACGGGCAAGGCACCGGTCCCACGTAATCCACAGCACCATGTGGCAGTCGCTTCACGAAACTCCCTTTGGGCACTTCCACCACAATGTCCACAAACCCTGGCACCTTCTTCCTCTGCTGTAATCGAGACCCTTCAAACACATTTCGGTCATCCTTCAATCCATGAATCTATTGTTCACTACGAATTAGGGGCACATTAATTACAGTTTCACAAGCCAAATTCTCAAGCAGTCATCGCGCAGCTATGCTATGTACATGAATTGGAGGCGATGCCAGACATCTGCCAAAATAAGTTGCCTCTACACGGACAGAAAGCAAGAAGAACTCGTGATAGTTTTCCGGGAGACGTGATGGTAACAGTGAATATGAAATTCAGAAACTCCGTTCAACAACAGGTGGCTCTACGCAAAACAGCTTTCAGAGACTAGTTTCTGCGTTTTGGAGTAGGCTAGCATTTGCTATTTTCCCGGACACATTAAATCCAAACAGATGAATCATAAGATCCTTGATAGCTTACCAACAGATCATTGCTCAAATCGGCTGAGCACGGCTTCAACGCTGAGACTTGAAACTTGCAAAGACAGAAAATGTTTTCCGCGGAACGAGAACACTTTCTGGACACATGTTCTTGCGAAGTTTTTACCGCTGTTTGAATTTCAAAGAAGAAATTCATAAGAATGAGACAAGACAGTATAGCCATGCACCTGGACAAGACTGGGACGCACCTGCGGCGAATCGAACGCTGCGCTAGCGGAGCTCGGACGCATACAAGCAAGGGTGATGGCTGCACCTCCGCCCCACATAGCCATAGTCCGATCCATCATGGTCCGCTACTACCCTAAACTTCCACAATCTCGCCCTCGTCTTCACCCACAATTCCACTACTGCCAAAGATTCGCTCTCAGGAAGTCTGAACAAACCCACAACCTCCCGCAAATGAAACGCGACAAATCTTCAAGGATAACCCAAAAACGTCATCACAAAACCAGAACCTCAACCTATCTGTACAGAATCCGAACTCAGACACCGACGTCAAAACGCAACAAAGATTGCGGCGTTACCTAGACCATGCCAGTGCGAATCACGATTGCACTCCTCGTGGCAGGATGGACAGGCTCTGTGGGTGTCTCCGAATGTCCGTTGCAATTGCATCCCGCCGTGAGACCCCAGCGTATCTGTGCTCGTGTGGTTGTGAGCTTGCAATTGCACCACATGATTGCACGAAGAAAGCGGGCCCCTCCATTTTTGGCCTTTATTTTTATTTTTATGGTTACTGTTCTTTTGGTTCCTGAAGCATCAGCGTCACCACCGCCAAAGGTAACTTCGTCTTTCTTGGTCGGAATTCGTTGATAAGGGTATTCCTCGAATACACAAAGCTTTCGGTTCGCGTGACCAACGCGACGGCGGAAGTTACAACGCATTGTCGCCATCGCTAGCATACCAAGTGGGTGAGGTTCCGACAGATTGAAGTCACGGAGGATCGCGCATCAGTGACCGTACGAGGGAATGAGGAGCGTGATTGTGGGGGCATCCTCGTCCACGCTGATCCCACGCCCTCGCTATCCTTCTTCCTGCTTCGCCGCTCGCTGTCGTCGCGTCGCATCACGTCGCGTTGCGTCACTTCGCGTCGAGCTTCTGCTTTGTTCATGGCTGCCACTGTGCGATGTTTTTATCCGGTATGCCCGATATGTTCTTCTGGCTGCCCCCGGGCAGCCCTTCCCCATTGACTTCTCCTTTCTAGGGCTTTGATTTCGGAGTACGAATTCACAAGTGGAAAGAAAAATGAATGAATAAAAAATATATGCATGACGTAGTACTCTCATTTCAATTACATATAGATTTATATGTTTATGTTTTGAAATGGTCATTACTGTATGGTATGTGTATGGTATGTAGATTGAGAACTAACTTTAAAATAAAATATAGATAAAATAGAAGAATTTATTGTGTACAGTGAAACATTTGGATGGGTCTTTTGAAATTTAAAATATAATAAAATTGGATGGTATTCTAATAAATATCAAATAAATAATTACATAACTTGATTTTTTGTAATTAGTTAAAAAATCCAAAATTTTACAATTCTAAATATTGACAAAAGCAAAAATCAACAATTAAAAAGTCTAAAAAGTAGTTGTAGGACTTGTCGATAGAAGGAACATTGGCAAGGCAATACAAAGTGTACAAGAAAGAACTTTGGTGGTGCAACAAGTCCTAATGTTATTGTCATTAAGTTATATGCAAGCAATGATTGTATCATATGTTGTTGACATTGAGTATTAGCACATGCTTTGATGTAAACAATACAAGAGACTAAATGATTGAATAGTATTAAAGGATTGAATATTAAGGGTAAAAAAGATAAGGCATTCACATGTAAAATATGTATTGTTGATAAGGCCCATAGATAGTTTTTTTTAGACAAGCATAAGTATACCAATGATATTTTAGATGCGATAGTGTCCAATCTTGGTTATTTTAATACAACTAGTTTTGATGATGCCAAATGGTTAAATGAGTGGATTGACAAATACTTTGGTTAATATAGTCTTGCATTTCTTTAGACTAAAGACAAGATATCAATTACACATAAGACTTGGAAAATATAGTAAAAATAAGATTTTTCTTTTTACTAATCATGATACTAAGTTCTTTAAAGGAAAGGTGGGTTCATAATTCAAATCTAAAGGCATTTGATACATGATTATGTTTCCATATTCACATGAGATTGTTGTCATGGTAGAGCATTATTATATTATAACATGACTATATGGTGAAAGATAATAACATTGATTCTATTATAGAAGAGCATAATTAAAAAACGTAATAGTAAGATATAGATAAAAGATAGGGAGGTAGTAAAACCTTTTTAGTATTAATACTATTTTTTTATAAAAAAGGCTTATACTTATTTTATGCAACCATATATAAGGCAAAATAAAGTAGATTAGAATATATATATATATATATATATATAATTTTAAGATAAATTTTAGAGTATTTTGTAGCTAAATTACTATAAAAAACCAAGAATTGATATCCAAAAAGGACCAATTATGAGCCATGGTCAAAATCAAATCCTAAGACACAAAACTATGTTTCTATGGCAATTTTGAGGTTTTTTTTTGTTGATTAAAGAATAAGATTATAGACAAGGCTTTAAGACAGTTGTTTTTGCATTCTTTTTAAGTAATTTGAATTCATATTGAATTTTTGAGAGCTTTTCAAAATGAGAGATGTTTTCCATGATTTTGGATTTTGAGAAATTGAAAGAGGTTTATATACTTTAGACATTTGTGGGTATGTTATTAGATGTACACGTGAAATTTTATGGTATTTTAAATGTGGTTGTTTTAAATGTGATTTTAAAATTTGAGTTCAATCTAAAGGTTAAATTGAAGGATATGAGAATTTCATTGGATTGGAATATCAAATAATTAAATTTAAGAATCAATAAGATTTTATGTGACTTTCAGAAATCCGCTGGTTTAATTCAAGCAAAATTTTATGAGAGCTCAATAAACTTGAGCTTCTTTAGTTTTGTTAATTTAAAAAAGAGTTGAAAAATTCAACAAGAAGTAATCACTACTATAAAATCAACATCCAAGTTGGAAAAAGAGGATAGCCAACACCCAAGAATATTAGAAGTTTTTTTTTTAAATTGATTTATTTGATTTTTTTATGTTTATTATTTATTTTACATCTTTTACTACAATTGATAAAAAAAAACCCTGAATTTTAAAATTTTTGCTAAATAAATTAACAAGTATAATTTTCTTATTACTTTTTATATGAACAAGTGCTTAAGCTTCACATTATAGTTAAATGAATTGAATAATTATACATCTTTAACTACTTTTTATAGATAGAAGTACTTTAACTTGACATTATTGCCAAATAAATTAAGTAATTTTATATTTTTAATTATGTGTACTAAAAGAGTTTAAAAAATAATTATAAACTATTATTATTAAAAATAGTTTTTGTTAAAAAATTAAAAATTAATTTAAAATTTATAGAGTATAAATGCTTTATATGATTTTTGATTGTTCTCTACTAGCTTATTATTATATTGGTAATAATTATTAACTAGATTATTTTTTTTATCTTAGAAGTTATATTGTTGGTGATACATAATAGCTTTATAGAATTGATTAATTTATAAAAATATCATATTTGTACTTTATTTTTTTAAAGTATAAATTTATATACATATATATATATATATATATATACACATATATACATACATACATAGAAAAGATTTTATTATTAAACTGCTATTAGAATACAACCAATTGGAAATTCATATATTTTTTTTATACAAAGTAAAGGCCGAGAAATTGAAAAGAGTAAATATAGAGCTAAAACTTTGTAGAAGAATAGAGATAAAATGGTTTATGTTTGCAATTGATTTTTCGTTTAATTTTTATAATTTTTTATTTCATTTTAATAGATAAAAATTTAGAAAATTTAGAAAAACTGAAATTTTATTATAATTTATAGGTAAATAAAACAATAATAACATTTATCAAGGTAATTAAGAAGTCTTGAAGTTAATTCTACTTTGCAGAAAAACAAAAGATGAAGGAGTAAGAACCATTATTTTTAGAATTATAGAATCATATTTAAACTCTTATTTATTTTAGAAGCATCATATTTAAACTCTTATTTAGAAGCATCATATTTAAACTCTTATTTATTTCTATCCTTATTTTTTGATTATGTATTTAATTAGCAATTTAAGAGGAATCATAATAATATTCTAATAATATTTCTTTTGGATAGATCTTTTTAAACTAATAATATGTATATTAATTGAACCTTTCAACTACTAATCAATAGTAAAAGTAGATAATTAGTAACAATTCAATCCTGTTATATTTGAACTTATTACCATTTGATAGGAACTGATATATGTAAAAAAAACCAGTCTTATATTTGATGTTATAAAAAATAAAAATAAAAAAACCAAATCAAAGAATGGTTGAAGACACACACACACACACACACACACACACACACATATATATATATATATATATATATATATATTAAATTAAGTTGATAATTTTATAGAAGAAAATGCAAAGAATTTTTAAAGTGCAAGATTGATTCAATATAAAAAATAATTACAAGTTTAGATTAAAAAGACAAGAAGAAGGCTTCAATTTCATTTGAGAATATATAAAATAAATAGAAAAAATTTAAGATATTATATAATTTATATAGAAATAATTAAAACCAACCAAGTAAATAAGAAGATAGATAAAGAATTTGATTCAATTTAAAATAATTCTAATTAATATCATTTAGAAAATTTTAACACAACTAAATTTTAGTTATTCAAGTATTCCAAATTAAAACCAACCTATGAAAAAATTATCAATTGCTATAAGATCAAATAATAAGAATAGTTAATTCTAATTGATAGTTAAGTTTACTGTTTTAATTTTTAAAATTGGTTGAATTTTGTTTCCTATTGCTTTTAAACGTTGCACAATGTTGTGAGTGAACAGACTAAAACAGTTCAAACATGCAAGTAACTTAATTGCCAACAGACTATTAGATTAATGCATGCATTTGTCAATGTCAATAGACTAATTTCCAACTTATTGATTCCGACAACGAACACAGAGCCTTGCTCTCTCATTCAAAAATACCTCACTCTCGTGGGCGTCTTTTAAGCTGATCAAGCTCCTTGGTAGTGAACACTTGTTCAGGATCGCATCTTGGAGGAATTGTGGTGAACAAGTGCGGCAAACTCTATCACCTAGTGAATTCACTTGACTGCGAGAAAATGTTCGGGTGCAAAGGCAGAGGAGGAGAACACAATGAAGGATATGGTCGAAATTATTGTTGTGGTTAATGAGAAAAGTCCACCCTATTTTTCACAGGAGAATGTAATGTCTTAAGCAAAGGACAAGAATTTAACTCTTCGAAATGTTTTTCATGATATCTTTTTCATGGATAACTCTTTTGGACGTTTCATGCACACGGAAGCAATATCACAAACACAAGCGCATAAATTCTGGCAAAAATGTTGAACTTCTTTGGATCGATGCTTGGAAGTAATGAAAAACGACAAGAGAGTTGATATGAGCATGGAAAACCAACAACAACAAATACGAAGCATAACAATCTGTTGCATTCATGCGGCCAGGTTCATTGGCTCAAATGGAGCACATCCTCTACACACGAGATAACGATTCATCTTCCAATCAGGCAGTTAGTGAATGCATCTTCTTGTGGGTTGACTGACTGTCTCCACGCATTTTTAGCGAAGCAAATCGAGAAAGTGGCAGCAGATCAACGTCCCGCAAATACCATGAAAAGTATGAATATATTCAGATCTTAGTCAAGGCTGCATGGAACATATATGCACAGCAAGACAACAAAACATAACACCACGGAAAGAAAAAAAACAGTAGAATACTGGCGTAGGATGGCTGCAGAAAGAAGTTAGCCTATCAAGGACAGAATGTGAAGTACAGTTGAGATAGGTACATTTGATAGATCAGATTGAAGAT